CCAATGGTCACTATATGTAATGATATATAAATTAATGGGACTCCAACGATCATGATATAAATTAAAGTATAAGAAAGCGGTAGCTTTACTCTGTCATAATGACACTCATATTAATATACATTTTTCACAGGCTACTATGTACTATAGGTTGTAAATTTAGAGTTTGTTTGTAAAAAATGAAATTCCATTGCATGTCGGTTTCAAATTTGTTGCACTTACCACTGACGAATAGAAAACAAACAAGACTACATAAAACAGACATTTATATTGATCTAGTACAAGTAGTTTTGTTGTCTGTGAAAATCAGCACAAATTGAGTTTCAGGCTTAGCTTAGCTTAATTCCTGAGAGGAAGTCGTATTCGTAAAGATTTCAGTATATGCAGACGAAAACCAAATCTTTGTTCTATTTACAAGACTAGATAAACTAATACATGTACATCTGCAGACGAAAACCAAATCATTGTTCTATTTACAAGACTAGATAAAGTAATACATGTACATCTGGTACCTGAATAATATAGATTTTATCACAGCGGAACATATCAACTCATATTTGTTACATACTGAGAGAAGTCAAAAAGAAATTTTTTGTTTGGCTCAACAATCTTAAACTATTGAAAGGATGAATTATATAATAAAACCCTTCTGTTTTTCTTCCAGGTCACCTGAAATCAGGGAAGACTGGATTAAAGCATTATCTAAAGCTATCACAGAAAACGCTACTAAACGAAGATCTTTTCTTCTGGTGGTAATTGTCATTTTTTTTTCAATTTCAGTGGTATTTTTATTCTTGAAATTAGATGTTATGATACAAAAATATTCGACTAGAACTTTGTATTTATTTGTATGATAAAAATCACAGCAATAGATCAACTTTCAGTGTGCAAAATTAGTCATTTATTTGTAAAACGTCACACATCAACTTATTGGGATAAGGTATTTTGTGACAAAAAATTTGAAAGACATATTATGATTTCAATTAAACTAAGTGAATACATGTTGTTGCACAGAAGTCTTAAATCTCTTGTAAATCTTTCGTGAACTGAAAATGAAATCACAGAAATCTTATAAATTATGCTTGTTTTTAGAAAGTAATGTTAATCCTAAAAATGGATCTTTTACCGCTTGTTTATTCACTACAAGTTATTTTCATTTGTCACTTGACCATATTAGCGACACAGGACTGAAACAGCGCTTCTAATCAATAAAAAACTTCGAAAGATGTAACAAAAGGAGTTACAATAGGTAATGTTAGTTATCCGAACCTATCAAAATTAAATAAACTTATCTAATAATGGTCAGGAAGAAATGAGTAAAAGCAATTATCCATATTTGGTTAGGTTTGATAGAACTTTTGCGTGAGTAATTGTAGGACCTGTGGAAGTGAGTAAAAGTACGTATATTTTGTTGGTATGAATTAGTTCTAGACTGGAAGAAGCTTTTTTAATTCTGAAAGTGACCTTTTTTAATTTCTGAATTTTTATCAAATTATATCAAGATGTTATTATAATTGTGCTAATGTTTTTTTTATTATTATTATTTGGATATCTGAGTTAGCAGGTACATCATAATGACAGTCATTACAAATTTATTCCTTTCCTAATTATTTTATGAAATATAGTCTGGTGTAGGTAAACGCTCACTATTATATTTGTTCTGTTTAGGCTTAAATTTTGGTCAAAAACCTTTTTTTTCGATTTTCTATTTTAACGAAGCGAAAATTTCAAAGTGACATCGCTCGCTACTTGTGTGGATTTGACTATTTGACTGTAGTACTTCAAAATTATTAGCTCGCGTCCAGTGTGGATTAACCTTTAGTAATCTTCTCATTATATTTCCTACATCGTCTGTATCGAAGGTATTTCATAATGTTAAAGATAAAAATAGGTTGTTGTCTTTTTATAAGAAATAGAAGAAAGAGAATAAAAGAGAACCACATATTAGTTTCTTTTGATGTTATAGCTTTCTATCCCGGGCATTAAATTCAGTTATGGTTTAGAAGCAATATGATTTTATTTAAATAAGTTAGAAAATATTTATGCCCGAGATATAATATTTTTTATTTCATTTTAGAGGACTTTTATTTATTCCTAGAATACTGTATCTTTGAGTTTAGTGAAGACATTTTCGTTCAATTATCAGGTACTGCAATAGGTACTACAGTGTCCCTTTATGCAACTTTAGTGATGGTATAGTTAAAATAAAAGATGTTTGAAATCTTACCTTTTCAGTTTAATAAAAAATTATGGATTATATGAAACTGAAATTTATTTAGAAACGTTTCGTTGACGATTGCTTCGTTATATGGAATATGACCTTAACAATTTTTTTCAATGAAGTACTGGAATTAACCTTGATATTCAATCTACCTCTGCAGTAGCGGTAAACAGGCTACCATTTTTGAGTTTTTAGTTGTAGTATCTGAATATAGGACCATAGAGACAAATATCCTCTGTAAAGCCACAAATTCTCACAAATATTTATAGTTCTTCGGTAACCACCTTAAGTGTATTAAACTGAATATCCCCCATACTTTAGCTGAAAGAATATGAAATTAATGTCTAATTCTATATTTAGAGAACGACGACTAGGAGAATAAGAATAGTTCCTACAAAAGTGTCATTATCCAGATGGTATTGTTAAAAAGATATAGGGCCAGAAAACGCTGGATGAACACTGAAGAAGATATTATTCCCTGTGCAGTAACGCTTAACCTGAATACCAATATAAATACTACATATGTTGACACTGAACTTAAACAACTTGTAGATCGTCTTCTAAAAAATTACTTAAAAGAAGATAAGTGTATTAAAAACTTTCACTTGGAAATATTATTCTACACAAATGGTACATATAACAAGAAGTATAGTAACTAATTAATAATCAAAATAATTAATTTTGCAAATCACATGGCGATGATATGTTAGGAACATATAAATAGGTTATATAAAAGTTACAGTTTCACCTTGTAGATTTATTTCTAATTTTAATTTATTATTCTGCTTTATTTCTCTACGTATTTCAAGTTTTACGAATATAAAGTTTATCATTTTATTGGATGAATTAAAATTACTTACTAATATTTAGTATTAATCTAAAAACAATTTTACTTTCGAAATATTTCCTATGTATACTATATAGGCCTACTTCTGAAGAGGGACTTTCAAGTCACGAAACTGGTTAGAAATAATATAATTAGTGCATATATTTTTTTGTTTGTATATTTATAGAAAGATGATGATGATGATATGGAGGATGAAGCTGAATCACATCTAAAAATTGGTAACAAGGCTCCAGTCTGGGTCCCAGACAAGAGAGTGTCAATGTGCCAGATATGCACTAGAGACTTTAAGGTCACGTACCGCCGACACCACTGTCGAGGCTGCGGCAAGGTAAGACTTTTAGTCTTGAATTTTCTTGTAATTTAACCCTTTTTAAAGTTTAGTGCATTAAGAAAAATAACGTATATATTATGGTAGTTCCTAGGAATGCTCGTACTTACACAATTTTCAGAGTATTGTGAGGTTATACCTGCCAGGTCAGATAAACGAATACGGTAGTTCGAATTGTTAAAAAGTATCTAAGTACTAAACGCTACTGACTTTCCATCTTGAGATAATGCTTTAGCTCAGTTAATAAAAGCACTCGCAGGAGATACGAAATTACCATACTGGCACATCTGGTGACATCATAAACATGATTAAAGAATCTCGCTACCTCAGAAGATTATACATAAACACACTATATCCACACGTAAAAACGCTGATTAACACACGGAGTAATCTTAATCCAGTCTTCACTTCCATAAAACAAATGAAAAACAAAGATCCAGAAGGTCATGACATACAGTCCATCCTCCTCAAAAAAAGGCACTCATAAATTGTTTGACCACCTAACAGAGTTTTTCAATTTATCATTAAATTCTAGACATATCTCAACCTCTTGGAAGAAAGCTAATGTTAACATGTTTCTTAAAGAAGGTTAAAAACTAGGAAACATACCGGAAAACTGTCGACCAATCAGCCTGATCAGCTACACTGGTAAAATTTTAGAAATAATTTTAAGTAACAGATTATCCACCTTCCTGGAAAACACTTCAAAATTACCTGAAGATCAAAATAGAGTTTAGAAAATTTTGGCAAACAACAGATTATTTAATTAAACTAGCTGAAACCATAGAAGACAGCTTTAATAAAAACAAATGCTCTGCTCCATGCTTTCTTAAAGTCGAGAAAGCTTTCGACACCGTATGGCACAGATGGAACTACCGTGAGGTATTACTCGCTAGCTGTCTAACTTTCTGGAAAATGGAAAATGTATAGTTAATGTGGAGGGAACCTACTCTGAGTACTTTACTCTAGAGGTAGGTGTCCCCAAGGGAAGGGTAGTCAGTCCTATTCTATTCATCAGGTATGTAAGTAATATGTCGTTATGGACCTCTTTTTTTTGGCTCTCAGTTCTCGGATGATGTGGCATCTGGAAGAGTTCTTCCGCTCCCCTCGATAGCTGCCACTAATTTACAACCCGTATTAAGCTAAATAGTCGAATACTTTCAAAAATATAGAATGAAAATAAATGTTCCAAAAACGCAGTTTGTTCTCTTTTTCAAAATTCATTAAAACACATAGACATCCTCCCCCGTTGTACTTTCAAGGAACTCTTCTCCAGACTTCCACATCAGAAAAATTCTTATGCTTAATCTATGATTCCAAATTAACGTAGACTGAACGTATTAAGTAAATCAGAAAAAAAGTATAGCGACGAATGAACTACTTCAGGAATCTGTTAGGGTAAAACAAAGGTAAAACTATACCACAAAACATCATAAAAATCTACACACAGTATATATATATACGTCCAGTAGTAAAATACGCTTCCCCAGCGTGGATTAACATAATAGACACACACATATAAAGAGTCAACTACAAACAATTAAAAACTCAGGTCTTACGACAGCTTACAAAGTATCCAGATCTATAAGTTCAGTATTCATGCGTAACTATGTAAATATACAGTCACTATATGTCAGACTCCTAGATATTTCGCTAAAGTGTTTCAAGAAAAACCTGAATAAAAATTGTTTATTGTGCTCAATAGATCGCTATATCATACGTGATGAAAGTAAGCGTAAGTTCCTCTCTCAAATTAATATCTACTACAAGTACAATAACAGGCCACCTATAGCTAATATGTAACCATATTAAAGAATTACAAGTGTGTTGAAAAAGGTTTTTATGTGCAATACACTTTTAACAATTTAAACTAGTACAGCACAAACAAATGAAGTTATGATGATGATGATGATAGCTACACTGTGAATACTACTTGTATCATATACATGTACATGGCCTTGAAAAGGGTCAGGGTGAGTACTCGGACTGTTGGGTACAAACCCTGATCCTCATGTGTGACGAAATTGGTATTTTCGTGGATACCCAAATGGAAAGTAGAGTCAACTTAATCAACTGCCAAGGGGGAATAAAGAGTTGACAAACGCACTTGACCCACTCGGGTTTCTCAAATAGACCTAAATGGACATAAATAAAACAGCTAGAAGAAATAGATTTTAACAGCAAACCACGTTTCTGTGTTCATTCTCAAATCATTTTTGTTTTCATAACTAGAACAATAGTACCGATAAATAATACGTGAAATTTGTAGCCTTATTCACACCGAGGACAATAGTACTAATAAATAACACATGGATTTGTGTAGCCTTATTCACACCGAGGACAAGAATACTGGTAAATGGGACATGGATTTCTATAGCCTTATTCACACCGAGAACAAGAGTACTGGTAAATAACACATAGATTTGTATATCCTTATTCACACCGAAGACAAGAGTATTGGTAAATAGCACATGGATTTGTGCAACCTTATTCACACCGAGGACAAGAGTACTGGTAAATAGTACATAGATTTGTGTAACCGTATTCATACCGATGACAATTGTGCTGATAAATAGAACAATAACTTTTGTAGCCTCATTCATACCAAGGACAATTGTGCTGACAAATATAACAATAACTTTTATAGCCTTACTCATACCGAGGACAATAGTGCTAATAAATAGAAGAATAACTTTTGTAGCCTTATTCATAACTAAGACAAGAGTACTGATAAATAGAACAATAACTTTTATAGCCTTATTTATAACTAAGACAATAGTGCTGATAAATATTACATGGATTTGTGTAGCCTTATTCACACCGAGGACAATAATGCTGATAAATAGAACAATAACTTTTATAGCCTTATTCATATCGAGGACAAGAGTACTAATAAATAGTCATGAACTTTTGTTAATAAATATCCTTCATTATGTGATTTTGACATTTAAACGTTGAAGATGGCTGAGGCTTTCATCATACTGAATATTGTGCCATGTATATCATATATGATATATTTTTCTACAGGTCGTATGTTCTGCTTGCTCAGCAAACAGATATCCTTTGAATTACCTCCACAACAGAATGGCCAGAGTTTGTGAGAAATGTCTCGTGGTCTTACAACAAGGTTCGTGTATTTTATGTCAATCCTTCCAATATACCTATGTAACTCAACTGGAACCCAAAATACACGTATATGTAGTGGTTTAATGTTTTCTGTAGCTTAGTAACTGATAAAACGTGTAATTTTAGTTTTCTACCAATTACTTTATAGAATCCTCGCAAGAACATCTGTCGAGACCCAGTGTTACGGAAAAATTAGAAGTTTCACCAAGCTTCGGTTCTAGCGAAGTTGACAGTGACTGTCCTCTCATGAACTCTAAAAAGCATGTCAGAAATAGACCTTGTGTTCTGAAAGAGGTATCTACAGTTCAAACTATAAACTTTGAATCTGTAAAAAGCTCATTAAGAAATTGATTAACTTATAAATATAAAATAAATATCTAAAAAGAAAACACCCTTCCTATCGTAACTCGTATCACTTTGATTAAGCCTAAACTTGTTCTCACCTTAATTTTTAAAACAACAATAGCAGTCTATATAATTTTAAAATCAACAAAAAATACCCCTTCACATTTCCATTTTTATGAGGAGTGTTGAAGTTATAATCTACTCAGTGTGATGGATGCGCTTGCACGCAAACACTTGTGCTGCCACCATTACGGAAGTTTTTCCGAAAACCCCTGAAACATTTCGCGCACCCTTTTTGGATTCGCGAACCACAGTTTGGGAACCACTACTCTAATTAATCAGATTTGATAATTATATAGGTGATGTTAAAGTAAACTTGTATCCCTAGTAAGGTTGTGGCGATCGGTTATCAATCATTTTAATGATTATTTGTCTATACGATCACCTAATTTTAATTGTTAATTAGTAACTAATTTTCGTTTATAACTATACTTTTAACTAGTTTTATTCCTCGTTTCGGCTGCTAATATGCCGTCCTAAATGGACTATTTCTGTATTAATAGTTGTTGGGACTCGTTATCAATTCGACTTACAACACTATAATCCATGGCTCGATTCCTAACGTTGCACAAAGTGTAAACGGCACACTTGCGTTAAAACAAACAAAAAATTTATGGCAGAACTGGGCGATTTTAAAGATTTGTTGTATTTATTGATTTTTTTTACAATTAATCAAAGGGTTAAACAACAGAAATAAAATATTTTAAAAATATAATTTCTTAAGTGTATTTTAGTGATTGGTGTTATATAGTGAATTCACAATTGTTTGAATTAAAATGTTTAACTTTTATTGTTTTTGATTTTAACAAAATACACAAGAAGCTAAAAGTTTGTGGAAAAAATAGATGTTTTAAAACGGTGACAGAAACATTTATAATGTTTCTAAGTGAGTATTGTGTTGAGGCTAAACGTTGCTTTTAAATACCATTCTACAGGTACCAGCAAGTGATAAAGATATCACCAAAAAGGGCTATCTGTATCGAATGAGACAGAATAAGAGCTGGAAAAAATACTGGTTTCTCATTAAGGATAAAGTGTTATACATGTACAGAGCCTGCGAGGTGAGCAAGATATAGATAAAGTCGGTTTTATAGAGTGAGAATGTATTGATACTCTTAAAAAGCGGGAGTAAGTGAAAAGAGCAACAACGTTATATTCGTACCACAATATATAACTGGTATTTCTGAATTTCAAGAGAAAGAAAAAGCAAACAAACATACAATTTCACGTGATATTTAGGTAGCTTATGCTAAATGCGAGAAGGATTAGTATCAACTTAGATTGTTAAAAATAGTTTAGGCTTATTAATGAAAGTTCTTTCTAACCCTTTGCCCTTCAAAGATGTTGTGCTTTAAAATAATAAACGTTGTACACACGATATTTTCTTATTTAAGAATGTACTATATTAGTTAATAATCGTTTATTCTTGATAAATATTCAACCTTTAACACTTAATTTATTGATTGTAGCTATAGGTACGCTGAACTGCCAATTACAATAGAGAGTGTGTAAACACAACAAGGATTTTCAAAAAATCCCACAAAATGAAGTGAAAGGAACCAGAAACACGATATGATAATAAAACACTGATGCTCTTTGCATAATATAAAACCATTATACGTAATGCATTAAAAAACAACAGAAATGAATTGTTAACTTGTAACACCTTTTTTTATTTGCGTATATTTACCAGATAAGTCCTTACGTACATGGATAAAAATGTTTCAAAGAAAACGTTTTATTTTACACCAAATATTAAAACATGGAAGCTTTAGAAGATTCAATTTCCCAAAGTTTATATTAAAAAATTATTTTTGTTCTAAGAAATTGAAATATACTGCTATAAATGTAAATATTTACTTAGCCAATATGGAAAACTTGTGATTTTGAGGTTTTAGCTATAGGACTGACGCATTCATACTCGTCTTTCACCAATAAAAACACTTCAGTAGTAATTTCAATCAGAGGCAAACTTTATCACTATATTAAACACTAGACTTCAGAATGAAACTTAAATATTGGCCAGGTTATATCAACTCAAGAACTGATGATAAGAAATTTATTTACCAAGTTATTTTTCATTGGTCATTACTGATGAAAAAAAACATTTCAATACCATTAAGCTCTGATGCGGTTGGTAACATTTTAGTGTTGAGCAATAGATGTGGGTATCTGTTAGTTCTGTGCTGCCACAGGAAAATAAAAAACTTCAGACATATGATGAAACAAAAATGTTAATAAAATTAGGCAACAACTTTTATCAATTTTGTTAACTAATGTATATATACACACACAGTATTAATAGTTATTTTATATTTTATGTTTGTACTTTATGTGTAAGATTTTTTGTTGACTTGTGAGGAAAACCAATCTTAGCAAATCGAAATATCGTCTCTGAACAGCTGGATGAATGATTTTAAAACCTTCTCAATTAATTTTCCTCCCCAACCTAGACTTTCAATTTGAACAACACCTAGGCTATGATTAATAAAAATTGAAATATGTAGAAGACAGTCGCAACTAAAACGATCCTTTTTATCTTCTTTAATGCAAATAGGACGTAGCTGCACTGACCAGCCGACCGTTACTAGGCTACTCTGTGGAGAGGCTGACGAAGGTAACGGTATCTACAACACTATACTTTTCACAGCATTTATTTATTAAATTATAATGTCAAATATATACTCAACTGAGATCCACAAGTGAGCCGATCGTAGATTTTCCCATATCCAACAGCGTAATGTATCCCCATTAAGTCTGATAAACTAATTTATGTATTCACAATGAAAATGTATGATAGTAGACGTCCCTTTCATTGTGATAGAGAGCGGATGTTTTAGTAGTTTACGATGTATATATTTAA